TAATATCCGAGTTATGTATGTGTATATTTCCAAAACTGTTGATAAAAGCTCGATAAGCATGAGGAGAGGGATAAAAACGAACCAACGATTGGGGATAAACGGGTATCCAAATTGCCAGATTCCAAGGTCTAGAGTCCAGATTGTTAAGCCCCCAGCTTAAAAATCTGATGGGGAGCTTTTTAAATAGGAAAAATCTATGATGTGGAACAGTATGGTAAGAGTTTTGACCAATCAAAACCCACTATAAATTTTGATAAATAACAACTGATTGACTATCATGTTTATGATTTCAGTTGACTGGTGAAAAGTTTTTTAGATATCATATCTTTCCCATATCATAATCGAGTTTATAGACACTAGATATGGCCATGAGTACCGTTTAGTCTTTTACCAGGATGACCATGTAATAGGCCCAATTAGTAGGGTATGAGCCATAGGTGCCCACTAAAATTTTGTTGGGCCTCATCCTAAGTAAATGGGTCCAAGTCCGTTCCCACTTTACATGTACCATTGTACCTTCGAAAATTTTACAAGAATATGATTGGTGAAATATATAGACTAAAAACTGCACATGTATCATTCCCGGACCTATGGTCCTTTGTCCAATAATACATTTCACTCGGGATATGCTACCCACAAGTTGTTTTCATATCTCTAACCACAGAGCACCACCATCATGTATGGGGAACATCTCCCCTGAATGACAAGGAAGATATTCCCAATATGCAATTGTAATGTGTCGTGGGTAGAGATGTGACTTGTGAGAACAGCTCATGATAGCAGATCCGAGTCCCATATATCTAGCAATTCTAATAACAGCCTGTTCTGGGCATAATATGTTGACCCAACCCATACTCGACCCATCATAACCCCTAGTAAATCTTGGTTCCAAGTCTGTTTCTTAGAATAGGAGAATACGCCCATTTGTCTTAGAAGACAATAGATGAGGGCAGATTTGGCCCTCCAGCGAAATTGTGACACCTAGCACCTCATGCCAATTAAGTGTAGCCTCTTGACAACTAGACAGCTCGCCATAGGCAGCTCGCCATAGGCAACTCGCCATAAGCAGCTTGCCACAGGCAGCTCGCCATAGGCAACTCGCCATAGGCAACTTGCCACACGCAGCTCACCAGAGGTAGCTCGCCATAAGCAGCCTACCATAGGCAGCTCGCCATAGGCAACTTGCCACAGGTAGCTCGCTCGCCATAGGCAACTTGCCACTGGCAGCTCGCTCGCCATAGGCAGCTCGCCATAGGCAACTCGCCATAAGCAGCTTGCCACAGGCAGCTTGCCACAGGCAGCTTGCCACAGGCAGCTCGCCATAGGCAGCTTTTCATAGGCAGCTCACCATAAGCAGCTCGCCATAGGCAACTCGCCATAGGCAGCTCGCCACATGCAGCTCGCCACAAGCAGCTCGCCACAGAAAGCTCACCCTCAGCCTGGCAACTTAGACAACTCGGCATTGCATAGGCAGCTCGCCACTATGCARCTCGCCACTAAGCAGTTCGTCCCCAAGTATCGCAAGAAGATCTCCTGCCTGACAACCTGGCCCAGACACCGACCCACCGGTTGACACAGGCGCCGACCTAACAACCTGGCCCAGACACCGACCCACCGACTGATGCAGGCGCCGCCCTGACAACCTAGCCCAGGCACCGACCTGGCCGCCTGACACAAGCACCAGCCTGACGACCTCGAGGAGTTCACCACCGTACCCCGGTTCTGACGGGATGTGACAAGTCTTACCGTTTGGAGGCTTTTCACCCACCTAACCCGCGAGGACTCCGGTATATAAAGACCTCACCCCCCAAAGGGGAGGGGGGAAAAAATGATGGTAACTCCTGCTCTCTAGTTCTCTCATTTCTCTCCAAGCTCTCTGTAATCAGAATGCTAACTTAGGCATCGGAGAGTCCCCACCGGGAAAATACCCTAGGGTCCTCTGATTCGGTTCTCGCAGGTCCCTCAGCTGCCGTCGCCTACAATGGAGAGGAAATCACCTCATGCAGAGGGTAGTCGGGTTGCGCTGCACAAGGGAGCTCCACCATCCTCTGAGTTGCAGGCCGCCTAGGAGTAGGTCAAATGACGAGTCCACCAGGCAGTTCTCCCCCAAGCAGATCGCCGCCAAGCAGATCGCCACCAGGCAGTTCGCTGCCAGGGAGCGCCACTAGGCAGTTCTCCACCAGGGAGTTCGCCACCAAGCAGTTCGTCACCAAGTAGCTCTCCACCAGGGAGCTCGCCACCAGGTAGTTCACCAGGGAGTTTGCCACCAAGTAGCTCATCACCAAGGCACGTCACCACCGGGTCAAATAACGAGGTACTTAGCGAAAAAAAAAATTATACATCACAAAAAATTTGTACGTGACCAGAAACGGTTACATCAATTGGCGCCGTCTGTGGGAAAACGCTACAAAAAGCTAAGTTCTCATCCTACAAAAGCTAAGTTCTCATCTTACCAAAGCAAAGTCCTCACTTTTTAGAAATTGAAGCTATCACTTTATAGTTTACATTTTTTATGAACTCAAAGACTATGCAGGGAGCTAACAGACTAAGTAGCTCTACCAACCTTATTTTCAATTAAGATAATGCCTCATCAGTCCTCTCCGCAAGGTCCCCCCTACAAAGATGAGTTCTTCGTGGCTTCCGTGGGAGTTGGCGGCCAACAAACTACATAGGCGCCCTTACCGGTCGAGCCTTCCAAAGCTCCCGTGTGATCTGGGGACCTAAAGTTAGTAGTGCTGCCCCCGAAGGTCGAGCTCCTAGTAGCTTCTTGTAGGAGTGGGTAACCGACATTACGAAGCTGATCCAGCACAATCATAGCTCGACACCTCACAGGAAAAGCCTATGGGCCACATTACTGCTTAAGACCCGGTCGCCTCTCCGGCACGGGCAAAAGTCAAAAGAAGAGTAAAGTACAAGTCACTCCCAAAGCCTACGGGCCACACTATTGATAAATATCCAGTCACTTCCTCAGCAGGAGCAAAATCAGCAAAAGTGAACTATAAATCTTCCTAGAGTCTAGAGCTACACTACTGAATTGGCGGAGACCCCCTCACCTTACTGGCAGCTCGCCACATACAGGTAGCTCCCGAAGCCTAAGGAATTAGATCAACACTTACTAGCTCGATGACTTACGGGCCAAAAGAAGTCTACTCCCTTCGCTGAGTTACTCTCAGCTCGGGAGTGGGGGGCAATTGATGAGGGCAGATTTGGTCCTCTAGTGAAATTGTGACACCTGGCACCTCATGCCAACTAAGTGTAGCCTCTTGACAACTAGACAGCTCGCCATAGGCAACTCACCATAGGCAACTTGCCATAAGCAGCTTGCCACAGGCAGCTCACCACAGGCAGCTCGCCATAAGCAGCTCACCATAGGCAGCTCGCCATAGGCAACTTGCCACAGGCAGCTCGCCATAGGCAACTTGCCACAGGCAGCTT